TGTCCATAAATGGGGTTAAATCCGAGTGGGGATCTGTAACGAGTGGCGTTTCACAGGGATCAGTCTTGGGCCCGTTGTTGTTTATAATATATATCAATGATCTTGATGAGGGAATTACTAGTGATATGAGCAAATTCGCCGATGACACAAAGATAGGTAGGATAATTGATTCAAACGTAGATGTTATGGAACTTCAGGAGGATTTAAACAAACTCTATTCTTGGTCAGAAAAGTGGCAGATGCAGTTCAATGTAGATAAATGCAAGGTTCTGAAGCTTGGGAGTGCCCATAACCCTAGTACTTATAAGTTAAATGATGTAGAACTTAGCCATACAGATTGCGAAAAGGACTTGGGGGTTATGGTGAGCAGCAACCTTAAACCAAGACAGCAATGCCTAAGCGTACGTAATAAGGCAAATAGATTACTGGGATATATATCAAGAAGTGTAAGCAACAGAAGTCCAGAGGTCATACTGCAGTTTTATACATCATTAGTAAGGCCTCACCTAGATATGCAGCTCAGTTCTGGTCTCCATATTACAGAATGGACGTAAATTCATTAGAAAACATTCAGCGCAGGATGACTAAATTAATACATAGCATTAGAAATCTTCCTTATGAAGAAAGATTGAAGACTCTTAAGTTACATTCGCTTGTTAGACGAAGAATGAGGGGAGACCTGATCGAAGTGTATAAGTGGAAGATAGTTATTAATAAAGGGGATATTAATAAGGTCTTGAGGATGCCTCTCCAAGAGAGAACCCGCAGTAATGGATTTAAATTAGATAAGTTTAGATTTAGAAAGGTCATAGGAAAGTATTGGTTTGGAAATAGGGTAGTTGATGAGTGGAACAGTCTACCTAGTTGGGTTATTGAGGCTGGGACTTTGGGTAGTTTCAAATTTAGGTTGGATAAGTACATGAGTGGGAGGGGTTGGATTTGAGTGGGACTTTCACATCAGAGCTTATTTCTTGGGTGGCATTGAAAATTGGGTTGGGCAAATGTTTTGTTAGTGGGATGAATAGTAAAGGACCTGCCTAGTATGGGCCAACAGGCCTCCTGCAGTGTTCCTCCATTCTTATGTTCTTATGTGAGGCTTGTGGGTAAGTTATGGGGTTTGTGGGTAAGTTGAGGCTTGTGGGTAAGTTGTGGGGCTTGTGGGTATGTTGTGGGGCTTGTGGGTATGTTGTGGGGCTTGTGGGTATGTTGTGGGGCTTGTGGGTATGTTGTGGGGCTTGTGGGTAAGTTGTGGGGCTTGTGGGTAAGTTGTGAGGCTTGTGGGTAAGTTGTGGGGCTTTTGGGTAAGTTGTGGGGCTTTTGGGTAAGTTGTGGGGCTTTTGGGTAAGTTGTGGGGCTTGTGGGTAAGTTGAGGCTTGTGGGTATGTTGTGGGACTTGTGGGTATGTTGTGGGCTTGTGGGTAAGTTGTGGGGCTTGTGGGCAAGTTGTGGGGCTTGTGGGTAAGTTGTGGGGCTTGTGGGTATGTTGTGGGGCTTGTGAGTATGTTGTGAGGCTTGTGGGTAAGTGTGGGGTTTGTGGGTAAGTTGTGAGGCTTGTGAATAAGCTTTGGGGCTTGTGGGTAAAAGTGAGGCTTGTGAGTAAGTTCTGGGGCTTATGGGTAAGTTGTGAGGCTAGTGGGTAAGTTGTGGGGCTTGTGGGTAAGTTGTGGGGCTTGTGGGTACGTTGTGAGGCTTGTGGGTAAGTTGTGGGGCTTGTGGGTAAGTTGTGGGGCTTGAGGGTACATTGTGAGGCTTGTGGGCAAGTTGTGAGGCTTGTGGGTATGTTGTGGGGCTTGTGAATGTTGTGAGGCTTGTGGGTATGTTGTGAGGCTTGTGGGTATGTTGTGAGGCTTATGGGTAAGTTGTGGGGCTAGTGAGCAAGTTGTAGGGCTTGTGGGTAAGTTGTGGGGCTTGTGAGTAAGTTGTGAGGCTTGTGGGCAAGTTGTGGGGCTTGTGGGTAAGTTGTGAGGCTTGTGGGTATGTTGTGAGGCTTGTGGGTATGTTTTGGGGCTTTGTGGGTAAGTTGTGGGGCTTGTGGGTATGTTGTGAGGCCTGTGGGTAAGTTGTGGTGCTTGTGGGTATGTTGTGAGGCTTGTGGGTATGTTGTGAGGCTTGTGGGTATGTTGTGAGGCTTGTGGGTAAGCTATGGGGCTAGTGGGTAAGTTGTGAGGCTTGTGGGCAAGTTGTGGGGCTTGTGGGTACGTTGTGGGGCTTGTGGGTAAGTTGTGGGGCATGAGGCTTATGGGTAAGTTGTGGGGCTTGTGGGTAAGTTGTGGGGCTTGTGGGTAAGTTGTGGGACTTGTGGGTAAGTTGTGAGGCTTGTGGGTATGTTGTGGGGCTTGTGGTTATGTTGTGGGGCTTGTGGGCATGTTGTGGGGCTTGTGGGTATGTTGTGAGGCTTGTGGGTATGTTGTGAGGCTTGTGGGTAAGTTGTGGGGCTTATGGGTAAGTTTTGGGGCTTATGGGTAAGTTGTGGGGCTAGTGGGTAAATTGTGAGGCTTGTGGATAAGTTGTGGGGATTAACTTCTTTAGAGATTATCTTTTATTAATAAATTTTGAAGGTTAATAATTGAACATGAGATTAGGGATGTATAGTTTCTATCAGTGCTTTTGGGATGAATGAAGTTAAGTTAGGTAAGGTTTAGGCAGTATTGTTTCCTATTCTGTTAACACCACCAGGCATTCATTTATCTTGTGGTTCCATATAAATATCAACCTGAATTGATACAGTGTCATTAAACAGTGTAAGCTTAATTCAGTAAAAAAATTGCTTTATTGATTCACCGCTTTTCCACGATATGCCACAAAAATTATTACTTCTAGATAAATGGCATTATTCTTGCAGTGTTCATCCACGACTTGCACGTTTAGTGGGTGACTTATCCCTATGGCGTCATGTAAATTTTGGAAGGACACCCCTCAGTCTACAATTTCTCCACAAGTTTATAAGATTTCTAGGTCCACACACCTTGACCATCACTGTGACTGGATTCGTCAAATCCAGTGTTCGTTTGCATCCTAAGGGTAAGAGTGAAAAATATTTTAACATCAGCATGAATTACAGTACAGTATCAAATATCCTTAGGGAATGCAATGTCTCATTTTGACCACTTGGAAAGTGACATCAATAATGCCATTAGTTTATCTTTAGGTTGGTTGTCTTTTCCTCTTCATACAGACAAATCTATGAGCACCTTTATGATAGCATAGCATTTCATACCTTGATCACCACAAGGTCTTTAATATACATTTCTTAACTGTGCCCTCAATATATAATACTTACTCACATTTTATTAAATTACGTTCATGCTAGTCCAAACCCTCGACACTTAAAAATACTATTTATAATATGATCTGTCTTCTCCAGTATTTTCTACATTACTACTGTATGAAACTAGACTAAGTTTACCTGATACAGTATTTAAAAAGTGGTGTACACTAAAGCAAAGTACGTACTGTACATTGTTTATTATTGCTGTTAGTTATCACTATTATTATTACTTCTATCATTACTATTACTACTACTACAAGTAATAATGTTACTGTATTGTTATTATTTAATTTTATATATTCCACAGCTGAATTTGGTGCACTTTACAAAAGCAGCATACATTAACACATAGACATCCCTTTTTATGCATGATATATTTTGTTAATTTGTTGTAACTTTTCTAGGAATGAATTCATTTGCACTGAAGTGCATCAGGTTATATGTCAGTAAAAAGGCATATTTGGTCATGTGCCATTTGAGAAGAAATTACTGTGCATCAGGTTTTCATTTTTAAATTTTAAGAGTGAAGAGATTTGTTTGAATTAGACTTACATAGGCTTTCTTGCATGAATGAATGAACACAGTAAAATACATGTTCTGTTTTCCTTTATATTTTAATTATCTCTATTTTAAAGTGTGTAATGGTTTTTACATACACTATAAATAATATGCATTAGCTTAAAATTGAGACTTTTTAATAAATTCATAACTCAGAATTCCTGACTATATGTAATTTTATATTTTGCAATGTTAACAGCATTACAGGTAAGTGATTTTCATGAAACAAGACAGTTACTTGTTTAGGACTCAAAACATGCTACTTGATTTATTTTCATAATTTATGATGTAACTCTAAATCCTAGGGTCACAGTGCATCTCTGAAGCATTTCTGACAAGCTTGAAGCGTCGTTGTCCACATCTTCAGGAGCTCAATCTTCATCGGTGTTATATTGATGCCTCCACCACAAAGTTCTCGGCCTTACCTGCTTCCCTTAAGAAACTCTCGCTCTGTGGGTCAGCCCTCTTTAATTTGCCACAGGTTTGTCTTCTTAAGTTTTTGGTATCCGAAATGTTACTTTTGTTGTGTCGATACCTTGACTTGCTATCTTCACCAGTCCTCTTTCCCCTTTTTCTAGCAATTCCACTTTCTTATTTCTATTTTTTTCCCCTCTGTGATGGCATATTTAAGTTTTTCAGTGATCACTTAATAATTTATGAAGTTCTTGATTATTTACAGTAATGGCTCAGTCTTGTTTTCTCTTCACACCTTTGTTTGCCCCCCTTGCCATATCTAGTAATAATTTAAATTTTCGCCTCAAAAATCCAAACAGAATCGTATGGTGGTAGTGACATCACCCTTTTTCCGGCTGGAGAAACACTTGCCTGTGCTGGAGGAAGTGATCCTTGAGGGGTGTGGAGCATGGCTCACTAGGCAGGACTTAACATTGCTTATGAGTCACTGTCCTGCCTTACAAGTAAGTTTCTTTTTCATATTTTTTTTAGTGCTGTACTGTAGATTTACTTATTTCTGGAACTGGCCACTCCCTTTCTGACAGATTTAGACAACATTAAAGAAGTGTTTGTCTTACTGGTATTCTGACACGTATTTCTGGCATGAATTATCAGAAAAGCTTGAGCCTAACTTTGCCTGCCTCCCCCACTTCCTTGATTATGCTCTCTCCTTCCCTTTCATATTCATGATTTGACAATAGTCTTGTATGAATGTAACTCATTTATTCCAGTTTAGAGTTTATAAGTATGGATGATAATTTTGGAAATTTTGTTAATTCATGATCAAGATTTCTTTTAATTTGTTGCATATAATTTAGGAGCCTTTGTTGTCGAGTGTTACTAAAGTGTTTTGTTGCTCCCCAGAAGAGTTTTAAACTTTTTTAATGGGGCTTCTTGTAATTATGATAATTTATATTATTTTATTTGTATTGTATCTACATAAGAATAAGCTGAGTTTGTTTCATACATAATTTTTTTTTACTAGTTTAATCAAAGGATTCTGAAATGCTAGAGCGGATGTTTGCAGTTAATATACAGTGGTCCCTCGTTTTTCGTAATTAATCCGTTCCTGGAGGAGCTACTATAAACAAAATTTACGATTTGCGAATCAATTTTCCCCATAAGAAATAATGTAAATACAATTAATCCGTTCCTGACACCCAGAAGTATTAAAACAAAAAATTTTTTTACATGAAATATACATGTAGTACATAAACAATACAATGGGAAATGATGAATGAAACATTAACAGCATAACACTTACCTTTATTGGAGATTCTTCTTAGTGTATGGAAGACTGGAGGAGGAGAGAGATTGGATTGTTTACAGTTTGGAAGGGGAATCCCCTTCCAGCAACAACTCAGGTACCAATTGCTTCTCTGGGGTTGCTTCTCTTCTCTGTTTCTTAATGCCACTAGGACCACCTTGAGAGTCACTCTAGTCCTGTCTCGCAAAGTAACTGTGGAGAGAGCTCTGTTTCTGGCGTCTCTTTAACACTTCCCTAAAATGGCCCAAGACTTTGTCACTGTACATATTTCTCGCCTTCTTTACCACAGGCTTGGCACTAGGAGCTTTCTTTGGAGCCATGGTAGCTTATTTAGTACTTGCAAGCACTAAAATGAGTGGAATATTATGAAATATTTCGTAGGAGCACTTGAGGGGACCTTCACTCACTGGTAAACAATGCCAGACTGGCTGGGTAGGGAGGCCTCCCCGGCTCACACCGTGCGTACGCGTCCCGGACGAACTACTACAGTGGACTCCCGCATAACGATTACCTCCGAATGCGACCAATTATGTAAGTGTATTTATGTAAGTGCGTTTGTACGTGTATGTTTGGGGGTCTGAAATGGACTAATCTACTTCACAATATTCCTTATGGGAATAAATTCGGTCAGTACTGGCACCTGAACATACTTATGGAGTGAAAAAATATCGTTAACCGGGGGTCCACTGTATTTGCGAGTCAACCTATGAAAAGCGAGTCCATGTTTATACGAAAATACCCCTATGATTGGCGAAATTTATGATTGCCGAGAACTACGAAAAGCGAGGGACCACTGTATATGGTGACAGTTTTTAATGAGAAAGTGGTATTAAAGAAATCAGAGATTTTATACTACTGTAGACTCTGGTGGTTGCCCGTAAACAAATACCTTGTACCAGGTAATTTCTTGGCACCATCAACAGGGAGAATAAGAGGCCACACTTGTAAATTGTGAAAAACATGCCCAATGAATTCAGGAACAAATTAAGTTATAGAAACAATTTAATGTAATATAAGAAGGGCAATGTGTGGTGTAAATATTATGCAGAAAATTCGGAGTGTGGAAATTAGGAGAAGGTGTGGAGTTAATAAAAGTATTAGTCAGAGGGCAGAAGAGGGGTTTTTGAGGTGGTTTGGTCATTTAGAGAGAATGGATCAAAGTAGAATGACATGGAGAGCATATAAATCTGTAGGGGAAGGAAGACTGGGTAGGGGTCATCCTCGAAAAAGTTGGAGGGAGGGGGTAAAAGAGGTTTTGTGGGCGAGGGGCTTGGACTTAGAGCAAGCGTGCATGAGCGTGTTAGATAGGAGTGAATGGAGACGAGTGGTATTTGGGACCTGACGAGCTGTTGGAGTGTGAGCAGGGTAATAGTGAAGGGATTCAGGGAAACCGGTTATTTTTATATAGCTGGACTTGAGTCCTGGAAATGGGAAGTACAATGCCTACACTTTGAAGGAGGGGTTTGAGATATTGGCAGTTTGGAGGGATATGTTGTGTATCTTTATATGTATATGCTTCTAAACTGTTGTATCCTGAGCACCTCTGCAAAAAAGTGATTGTGTGAGTGAGGTGAAAGTGTTGAATGATGATGAAAGTATTTTCTTTTTGGGGATTTTCTTTCTTTTTGGGTCACCCTGCCTCGGTGGGAGATGGCTGACTTGTTAAAAAAAAAAAAAAAGAGGTATAGGGATCATACATCTTAGGAATGGGCAGCAATCAGGTTTAATCCAAGAAATTGGACGATAGGTCCAATTTCTTGGATCAAAAGCCCTTCACTAGTATCAAGACATTAAGGAGGCAAGAGGGGGTAGAAAGTGCTACAACCATTGAAAATCTTGGGAAAAAAAAAAATTCTTACTACATTAAACACTGAAATGTGCACTATAAATATAACTATTTATGATGGAGGAAAATCCATATGTCCAGATAAACGTGATATGAAAAGGAGACCATTCTGATCACTATCTGAGATCTTCAGCAAACAAAGATTGAAATATACAGTGTGGCTTTTCATAATGTTTCTGTGTACGTGTAGACTTTCCTCAATTCATGATGTTTCATCATAGCTGTTCTGCTGTAGATACAAATAGATAATTGTATAGGTAGTCTAACTACTTAAATCTCTTGTACTGCAGTATTTGTATTTCATAATTTGTATTTTTATGCAAGATTAAATTTCAAATCTAAAATTTCCTTCTCTTTGCAGATTGTTAATGTTGGTCCTGCTAGATACACACGAACAGGACATTGTTCATGGAACAAGCGTGACGACAAACATAGCAGTAGCATCATTCTCACTCGCAAATGGAGAGCATGAATTAAATTTTTCAATTCCAGTGCAAGGAAACTTGACAAGAATAATTGATTGAAGTGACTGCAAAAATTGCATGTAATTGTAATATTTGCTTTGAATGAAAGAAATGCTATATATGATTGTTGGAATTTTAAGAGTGTATAGGTATCAGTTGCTTGAAATCAGTTAAATATTTGCCATTTTAATATAATTAATCTAAATAGGTATTTTACAAAATGCTGTACCCTTGTTCACTGACAATACCAATTAAATTGTTTTATTTATGTAGTTTTGCACAAGTAATCACTGAGAAAAGCTCAAATTATATGAATGTTGTGGTTAATTCTTTGAATTAAATCTAGTGTGGAGTGCGAAGAATTGTAAAGTGGTGGTATATAGTAGTAACAATGGCGATGTTGCACCGCGCACTGTTCACCTGGTTTCTGCTCCTGGTGTTCCTTATTCTCCTAGCTCTTAGGCTGGACCAGAGAACCAAGTGGAATTGGTTCA